CGGGCGCGCGGCCGGGGCCGCGGGGTTGTTTTGGCGGCGCCGCCCGGGCCCCCCCGTTTTTGATTTTTTTTGGCTTGGGGTGGCCAAAAAGCCAGAGCCGGCCCTGTCAGTTGTCCAGTATGGTTGGTTTTAAAATACTGTATCTCTAGTTGTTTTTCTCCTCTAAATGTTCATTTAACTTTTTTAAAGGACTATATAAATGATGACTTCAACACGACAGGGTGCAAATACTAGGTGGAGTCAGATTTATATGGTTTACAAATGGCCTCATTTGATTCCCAAATGTTACTTCCAACTCCAAACTTTAAAGTCACTCACTTTGCAAACAACTTTCTTGGTAACCAGTAATTTAACATTCTCCTTTTGCATTTTTTACAGGTCTCTGTCAGTGGCATTGAGTGGGACTATATTGCTACACAGGGCCCTTTGCAGAATACATGTCAGGATTTCTGGCAGATGGTGTGGGAACAAGGGATTGCCATTATAGCAATGGTGACAGCAGAAGAGGTGGGTCCTTAGGCCAGGTCTGCTTTGAAACGTTTGTCGATATAGTAATGTTAGTTAGGATCGTGATCCTGTGTGATATTTTTATATTGACAAAAAAATCCTTTTGCCAATATAGTTTTTCATTCAGGGAACTGTTAGAAGTTTTGTCAGTATAAACTGGTCTCCACTCGAGAGATTTGCTGAGATAGCTATACTGACCAACCATTCTAGTGTAGACTCAGCCTTAGAAATGGTTTCCTCATTTACTAAGTCTGAGTCAAAGTTTGTGGAGAAGCCCTTTAGCAGTACATTGTGGGGTAGAAACGTTGGGATTGTTACAGCAAGTTCAATTGTGTGTGTGTGTTCATGCCTTACGTTTGCAATGCTTTGCTTCCAAGGAGGGTGGGCGAGAAAAGAGCTTCAGGTACTGGCCCCGACTTGGCTCAAGGCACAACACTGTCACCTATGGGAGATTTAAGATTACTACACGATTCCGGACAGACTCTGGCTGCTATGCAACTACAGGCTTGAAGATCAAACACCTTCTCACAGGGCAGGAGAGAACAGTTTGGCATCTGCAGTACACTGACTGGCCAGAGCATGGGTGCCCAGAGGATCCCAAGGGATTTCTGTGTAAGTTGTGTTAATCCCCTCCATTAGCCACACCACCTACTATGGTTGTAGAGCATACTGATGTTAAAGGTTTCTTCACACCAGTGATGGATGTTGGATTTTTTTTTTTTTTTAAAGAAATGTCTTTCTGCCTCTAAGCTCATGTACATAATTATTAAAAACCATATAAATTGAAACATAATTACACTGCAAGCTGTCACTTTAATCGCTCTCCAGCAAAAGAGAGTTAGGCTATAAATCACCTCCCCAAGAGCCCCACCCAGGGAATCTCCCAAGTAAATAAATAATCCTTCCTGTTGCTTTGATGGGCTGTTAAAAATGTTTCAATAGTTCAATGATCGTTGTCAGGAATGCTGCAGTTTGTTCTCTGATGTTAGTTACAATGGTAGTGACAGGGGGAGGGATAGCTCAGTGGCTTGAGCATTGGCCTGCTAAACCCAGAGTTGTGAGTTCAATCCTTAAGGGGGCCATTTAGGGATCTGGGGCAAAAATCTGTCTGGGGATTGGTCCTGCTTTGAGCAGGGGGTTGGACTAGATGCCCTCCTGAGGTCCCTTCCAACCCTGATAGTCTATGATGTAATATGTGTATTTATGTGTCTTTTTCTTTCCCATTGAAACTGACAGCGTACTTGGAGGAGATACAGTCAGTGCGGCGCCATACAAACAGCACAGCAGATCCTAAAAGCTCTAACCCTCCTGTACTGGTGCACTGCAGCGCAGGTGTAGGAAGAACGGGAGTGGTCATATTGTCAGAGATCATGATTGCCTGTTTGGAACACAATGAGGTTATTTTCCTGCCTATGTTTTAAAATAAAAGCTTTGGTATATGTATGTGGAGATTGCTCAGGTCACCCAGATCATAAGTATTGTGCTGCCTGATCTATTGAGCACTTATGGTGTGGCCTATGGAAAATCTTTACTGCTGAGGTTGGGAGAACCCTTACAAGCTCCTCACCCCCTTTAGTAATATTGTAAAAGTGTTTGCTAGTGCATCAGGTGTGCATTAACATGTATTTTTCATTCAGGAACCTTGTCCTGCAAGGTGCTGATCAATGCCTGTGTGGTGCAGGGCATCCTCACATTCTGTGGACTTCAGTGGGAGCTGAGGGTACCCAGCATCTTGCTAGTTTGGCTTTATGACCAATTTTTACAGATGCATTTTTCACTCTAGTCCCTGCACTTCATCAGATTTGCCTGGTTGCTGGGTGTATCTGTATTTATAATACTAGTGTTGTGTAGAAGACAGTGTGACAGTTTAATAAAATATTTAGAGGAGACATTAGCCCTGTCTGGCCATCACCCAAGGTGACCAGCTATAGACTATTGCACTTGTTGCTTTTTTCATTTTTGAATGTGCTCTGAAAGGTGATAAAGTATCTTCGTTTCAGTATCTATGCTGATGATACTTAGTATTTACACATGGCAGTGCTTTTCATCTTCGAAGCACTTGCCAAGCATTAAATTATTATGCCTCATTATGAGGTAGGCAAATTAGTATTAAGCCCTTTCTACAGATAAGGAAAATGAGGCAGACAATTTAAGTGACTTAGCCAAGGCCACAGTGGGTTAATTGTCAGAGCTGAGATCTGAGCTCAGGAGTTACTGACTCTGTGCCCTGTGCTTAGATCATACATCTCTCCTGCCTTGAAAGAACAAACCACAGACTTATTAATTACCAGTCATTATAACAGTTAACTTCTTTCTTTTTCCAGATGCTGGACATCCCAAGAGTGCTGGACATGCTGAGGCAGCAGAGGATGATGATGGTGCAGACTCTCTGTCAATACACTTTTGTCTATGGAGTTCTTATTCAGTTCCTTAAAAGTTCTAGGCTTATATGACGCCCACCACTTCCTGTGGGACTGAATCATCTCAAGAGTTTATAAAAGGAGAATTGCAGTTGTCCAGACAGACTTGCCTTTCTGGTGTTTTCCTCAATAGATAACTCATGCAGAGTTACCTTTTTGGCATGGTGTGGGGATATTAAATGCAAGTGCAAGGTGTCAACCTTTGCAAAGCAAGATATTGACTGGACTAACTTCAGCTATGTTAGGAAGGTTCTAACATAACACAACTGTGCTCTTGTGAAGTACCTGCCCACTTTCTTGAGATTGTGTTACTCTGGGTAAATTAACTGTCAACTTTACCAAAACTACACTGGGCAATTTTGGAAATAACCTATGGTTTTTTAAGTCTAAATTGCTTTTTTAAAAACAGAGCATTAGCTCTGAGCATGGAAAAAATATCTGTAGAGTTGCATAGCGAGGGGCATGACGGCCCCATTGGAATGCCAAGGTCTTAAGTAGTCTCACTCTACTTTCCATTTTGTATTTAAAACAATGCTAATATATTTTTTAAAATAGACTTGGTTTCTTCTGGTTCATTTAGCAGAACCAGCAGCTGCTAGAAACCTAAAAACATCAGGACAGTTATTTTTCTATTCAACAAATTTAATTTTTTTAGTCTTCAAAGAGCTATACATTTGTAAACAGCACAAGTTTTCAGAGAAGAGCAGAAACGAAGACACTCAAATTAACTTTTCAGGATTTGTACAAAAGTGAAAAGTACAAGAGGAAACTGTTGGTACCTGTAGAGTTCCAGGTAGTAGAATCAGCAAGAGAAAAGTCTTGTTACCTGCAGAGTGCTAGGTAATAAAATAGGCAAGTAGAAGGCATTGTTGCCTACACATTTCTAGGTGACATAAATGGTAAGAGAGAGGCACAGTTACCTACAGAGTTGTAGGTAATAATCTGCAAGGGGAAGAGGTTATTGTCAATGGTTTTAGGTAAAAGTAAATGAACAAGAGAAGGTCAGTTACCTACAGGATTCTAGGTAACAAAATGGACAAGAGGAGGTATATATTCAGTATTATTCATATATTTAGAGGACAGTTTGATTTTACTGGTTGAAATCGAAGTGGATGCAAATGATGTTTTAAGCACTTTTTTTTTTGCTCTCTTATTTATATAGCTAAGCATATAAACTGTAACCATATATCATTTAATAGATTAAAGTACCATTACTAACCTAACTGTTAATTTAGGAAGAGCCTTTGGAAATGATGAAGAGAGATAACAGAACTTAAAAGTAGGAAGTTGCATAGTGGTGAATGGGGAATGAGTATGTGCAAATGATGGTGCAAGTGTGACGGCTGTGATTTTTGGTTGCACATGGTTAGTGCAAAGACTTCAGTATTAATTTTTACTCTCTCTAGCAAGAAAAGCTTAAAAACATCTTAATTTACAGTAGAATTCCTGAGCTTATTTTGTTAATCAGCTGAAAGGTTTTCGTTAGCCTTGTACGGTATTGTTGAGTTAAGGGTGTTTATGATATACAGGAGGCCATCTGAGAATGATAGCAACACTCAGAAATGATAACTGATGATGTTGGAGATGTGGGTATTTGCTCAAAAGAAGGCAGCATGGTCACTGGATGGGGCATGAAACTGGAAGTTAAGAGACCTGAGGGTCTGTTCCCTATTCTGCCACTAACTCACTGTGCGACCTAAGTCAGATCACTTCACCTCTCTGTGCCTCAGTTTTTCTATTTGTAAAACAGGGGTAATAATGTTTCCCCACCTTTGTAAAGTGCTTTGAGATTTAGCGACAAACAGCTCGATTCAAGAGCTCTCTCTGTTGTTTGTAGATGTCTAGTGGTCAATTGACTCCCTAAATCTTTGGAGGACCAGTCAGTGAACAAACAGACAAACATATTGTACCTCCCCAGAGATCCCTGCTTCACAGAATGGAATGGGATTAGCATTTATTTGTTAGTCATTTTTATGACTGTCAGGATGGTGCTATTTACTTCTGATTAGCTGTGAGGAAGCTTTAAGCCCTAGTGTAAGAGACTAAAAGCTCCCTTCACAAGAAAAAATTATGTGCAATTTTTAATTAAAGGATAATAAAGGGTTGCTTCAGTTTCCTCTGTAATGATCTGCTCCCAAAATGATAGACAAGGTCCAAATGACAGTGTTAAAATATCACTTCCCCCAAAATTATACATCTCTCCCCCGATATAACACGACCCGATATAACACGAATTCGGATATAACGCGGTAAAGCAGTGCTCCGGGGGGGCGGGGCTGTGCACTCCGGTGGATCAAAGCAAGTTCAATATAATGCGGTTTCACCTATAACGCGGTGAGATTTTTTTAAGTATCAGAGGGGTAGCCGTGTTAGTCTGAATCTGTAAAAAGCAACAGAGGGTCCTGTGGCACCTTTAAGACTAACAGAAGTATTGGGAGCATAAGCTTTCGTGGGTAAGAACCTCACTTCTTCAGATGCAAGTAATGGAAATCTCCAGAGGCAGGTATAAATCAGTATGGAGATAACGAGGTTAGTTCAGTCAGGGAGGGTGAGGTGCTCTGCTAGCAGTTGAGGTGTGAACACCAAGGGAGGAGAAACTGCTTCTGTAGTTGGATAGCCATTCACAGTCTTTGTTTAATCCTGATCTGATGGTGTCAAATTTGCAAATGAACTGGAGCTCAGCAGTTTCTCTTTGGAGTCTGGTCCTGAAGTTTTTTTGCTGTAAGATGGCTACCTTTACATCTGCTATTGTGTGTCCAGGGAGGTTGAAGTGTTCTCCTACAGGTTTTTGTATATTGCCATTCCTGATATCTGACTTGTGTCCATTAATCCTCTTGCGTAGTGACTGTCCAGTTTGGCCAATGTACATAGCAGAGGGGCATTGCTGGCACATGATGGCATATATAACATTGGTGGACATGCAGGTGAATGAGCCGGTGATGTTGTAGCTGATCTGGTTAGGTCCTGTGATGGTGTTGCTGGTGTAGATATGTGGGCAGAGTTGGCATCGAGGTTTGTTGCATGGGTTGGTTCCTGAGTTACAGTTGTTATGGTGCGGTGCGTGGTTGCTGGTGAGAATATGCTTAAGGTTGGCAGGTTGTCTGTGGGCGAGGACTGGCCTGCCTCCCAAGGTCTGTGAAAGTGAGGGATCATTGTCCAGGATGGGTTGTAGATCACTGATGATGTGTTGGAGAGGTTTAAGCTGAGGGCTGTAGGTGATGGCCAGTGGAGTTCTGTTGGTTTCTTTTTTGGGCCTGTCTTGTAGCAGGAGGCTTCTGGGTACACGTCTGGCTCTGTTGATTTGTTTCTTTATTTCCTCGTGTGGGTATCGTAGTTTTGAGAATGCGTGGTGAAGATCTTGTAGGTGTTGGTCTCTGTCTGAGGGGTTGGAGCAGATGCGATTGTACCTCAGTGCTTGGCTGTAGACGATGGATCGTGTGGTGTGTCCGGGGTGGAAGCTGGAGGCATGAAGGTAGGCGTAGCGGTCGGTGGGTTTTCGGACAAATAAGCGATGGCCACGTTAACACCACCCTATACCTATACTTTGCCCCACATCTTGCATTCCCCTCCTCTTCATCAAGGTCTGCAAGTGCTTGAAACCTGTTCTTTAACTGGAAAATGAAGGCTTTCTGTATTTCAGGGGCCTTTAGCTTGTCAATGTCATAATGTCTATGTCCCTTGTTTGGTGGACCCACACTTCAGTTTTAGCTTGATGGAGGCTGTCACAAGGTGGTGGTCGCTACCAACATCTGCACCCCTTCTCACTTTCACATCTATCAGTGATCGTTGCCATTTGCCATTGATCATGATATGGTCAATCTGGTTCTTATCTCTGCCATTTGGAGAACACCATGTTAGCTTGTGAATTTCACAATGTTGAAATAGGGTTCCGCCGATGCCTAGGTCATTCATATTACAGAAACCAACAAACCTCTCTCCATTTTCATTCATGGTGCCACACCCATGTCTTCCCATTGCTCTGTCGTTGTTTGTGTTGTCCTTACCAACATTGGCATTCAGGTCTCCCATGACGATAGTTAGGTCGTGGCGTGGTACTCTCTCTAACTCCGCCTGTAGTGTAAGGTAGAATTTTTCCTTTACTTCTTCATCACAGTCATTTGTCGGAGCATAGCACTGAATCAGGGTGATATTATGTTTCCCTTTCAGTCTGGCTCTCATAAGTCTGCTGCTGATGGATTTCCATTCAAGCAGGGAATGCTCCACTCCCTTTTTCAAAAGGAGAACAACACCCTCGTGGTATTGTCCATCATCCCGTCCAGAATACAGCAAAGTTTCTCTCAAAGCTGTTGTTAATCTTCCTGATCCCGTCCATCTGCTCTCGCTGACACCCAGGATGTGTAAGCTGTAGCGTCTCATCTCTGCTTTGACCTGAGCTAGCTTCCCTGTTTTATACATTGTCCGTACGTTCCAAAAAACAAGTCTGTTTTTTGTCTTGGTGTTGAGCACTTCAGTTTTCATGCTAGTGGCTTCCTTTCGGCTGTCACCCCTGGCAGTCATACGGGTCATTGACTCCTGAAAGCCATCACACACAGTAATGGTTGATTTCTCCGTCACTGTTTTCGTAACATATTTTGTTTTTTTTTATGGGACAGGGTTGTTAGCTCTGTGCCTAACCCGCAACCTGGAGGACTAGGGTGTCTGTTTTGCCTGTCCCCTCCCCCACAGACCAATCCGGCATGGTTGAACCTACCAGGAGCAAAAAGCCCCCACCGACACAGACTCTGGGGATCGTTAGAGCACGCAAGCTGTCCGGCCATGACAAGACACGGACACCAGAGGACATTCTGCGGGCATATGGAATCCTTTTATGTATAATCAACATCATCAAAAGCTTTTATTTCAACTTTACATGCAGTGTTGATCACAGTGAGCTCAGTTTTGAAGTCAAAACAGGAGTACTTCAGGAGTGAGTCATGTCTGCAATCCTCTTCAGCATTGCCATTGACTGGGTAATGCAGTGTACAACAGAAGACATGCTAAGAGGCATTAAATGGACACCCATCCCTTGAAGACCTGGACATCACAGATGATCTCGCTCTCCTATCACATACCCAACACCATATACAAGAAAAAACAACTTGACTCAACGCATTCAGCCAGCAAATTGGACGGAAAATCAACTGCAATAAGACATAATAAGAAATAATATTGCCTCACCATCACCAGTACGGATAGAGGATTATGTTCTCACCAATGTGGAAACATTCACATATTTGGGCAGCACCATCAGCCAGGACGGTGGAACAAGCCAGGACATCTGTAACAAAATCAATAAAGCCAGGAACACTTTCAGGAGCATAAATACAGTCTGGAAATTATCAACATACAAAACCAAAACCAAACTCAAGATTTATCAGAGCTTTCTTTCAACATTACTTTATAGTGCAGAATGCTGTGGAATGAGAAAGAATGACATGTCCAAACAGTCTTCATTCTATATAACCTGCCTCAGAAAAATCCTCTGTATATTTTGGCCCAGAACAATCTCAAACCAAGATCTACTGACACAGTGCAGCCAAGAGGATCTGAGCATCATCATTGCCAGGAGGCGTTTGAGATGGATCGGTCATGTGTTTCAGATGGAAACTGATTCCATCACCAGAGTGGCAATAAGATGGACACCTGAAGGCAAGTGAAAACAACGCCATCCGAAAACAACATGGTGAAGAGCTGTGGAAGCCGAGCTGAAAAACTTGGAGCACAGCTGGGGAACCATTGAAAGACTTGCCAGAAACAGACAGGAGTGGAGGAGCTTCATCGCTGCCCTAAACACCAGAGGCGTAATAGGGACATGATGATGATGAAGAAAAATGAGTTTGAGCACAACAGAGAAAACCTTCTCTTCCTCTTAACTGTGGGCCTGAGATAACATGCTTACCATATCTTTGCCCAACCAGAACCACACCTGGCAGGAACAATGTCTTGATCCAGAGGAAACTAATCACTGAAGATGTGGCACACTATAATTCACATCTGCTAACATACAAACTACCTGCAACTTATATGTCAAATGGTTTATCAGCACCTCTCAGAATCTGGCTTCATGGGCCCACTTCTGCAGTTCTTTCATGTATAGACCTTACTTCAGCATGAACATTCATATAAATCAGTGGGATTACTCATGTGAGTAAGAATTGCTGGATCCAGCTCTATGA